AAAAAATTTTAAGAAAACTTCTGGGAAGATATTAAGTATGAGAACAGCTGGGTCAAATGAGTCCGCTAGCTCTAGTGTTTTGAGGAATCTCCATACTGATTTCCACAGTGGCTGCACTAGTCTGCACTCCCACTAACAGTTGAGAAGGGTTCCTGTCCTCCTAAAGCCCCACCAGTATTTGCTATTGGTCGATTTCTTGGTAACAGCCATTTTTTTCTGGAGCATGATGGAATCTTGGCATTGTTCTAATTTGCATTCTTTAAGTGACCAATGATGCGGTTCCATCTGACCCAGCTATTCCCCACTTAGTATTTTCCCAAAAGAATTAAAGGCATCATACCACAGTAATATATGTGTGTTGATATTTACAGCAGCACAGTTTGTAATAGCTAAATCTTGGAAACAGTCCAAATTCCCATCAACTGATGAATGAATAAAAAAGATGCAGATTTTTTTATACAATGGACTACTACTCTGCCAAAAATAAGGATAAACTGGACACATTTATAGCTAAATGGATGGGCCTTGAGACCATACTCTTAAGTGAAATAAATCAGACATACATGTAAATACCACAATGTCTCACTAATATGAGAAATTAAAAGTGTAAATAAGAACCAAAATGGATAGTAGGTACTGTGAAATAGGAAGAAATTGTTCAAAAGGAAAGGGGAACTGGATGGAGGGGGAGAAGGAAGGGAAAATAAAAGAGAAAAGAAGGATGAAATGGAAACAAAGCTTTGTAAATAAGAAGGGAAAGAGCTTGGAGGGGGATGGGAAAAGAAGATACAGGTACAAATCCCCCAGGAATGTGATCATTATGTATATCTAGACTGTACCAATAAACTTAATAATAAAAAAAAAGCTTCATGTGAAAAGTTGAGAAGAGACTGACATCTAGCATGTCTAATAAAAAAGATGTCAGAATGGATTTCTGCAGAAAGAATGGTGCTCCCATGAAGGTTCAAGGTGATGGGAGATAAAAGCATTAGACAGGAGAGAGACAAAGGTCAGAAATATTGTGACAGGTGGGAAAGCGCTGAGGGAGGCCTAGGCAGGAAGCTGGTTTATAGGCACAGCCCTTGGTGCTGGCTCTCTGGAAACACTGGCTGTGTCAGCATGGCTGTGAGGACTAGAGGAGGTGTTAGCAGGGAGGAGGTGCATAGTAACAGCTGAAAAGTGTCAGCACTGGAATATGACCAAACGAGAAAAGAGGTTCATGTGGCTTTGGTTGTCTCATGGATGGCATCTATTAATCCTCCAGAGGAGAAAAACACTTTCCTGACACTAAATTCTAAAGGAAATTAATCATAAGCCTTGACAAATAAGAAGTGTAGGTCTTCTAATGGACAATGTCTTGTATGGGAGTCTTTAAGTGAAAGATCCTCCTAAATCTCTCCCTGCCCTCTGTAAAAGATATTGTTACAAAGGAAGATCCTGAAAAAGAAGAGGGGGAAAGAAAAAAAGAAGAGGTTGCTTCAGGGTCTTCAAATATGTGGGTGGTTCCCATGGATGGCAAGACACAGTCAGTGGGTTGTGCCACAGCAAGGCGGAGGCAGATCAGCCCCAGTAAGATCTAGCCAGAATCTAGAACTACATACCAAGGAAGTGGACTGCTTCAAAAGAGGGCAAGTCCCAGGCTAAAACATGCTTGCAAAAAACTCAGGGACCACAGGTATGGCAGGGATGTGAACTGGAAGACTTCTCTACCTCCTGTGCTTTGTTTCATTCACTGCCTGTTGGAATCTGCCAAGCATCATTGATAAACATTTATAAAACCCCAAGCTCCAACTTAGTGTTTGGCAATACAGAGCCTGTCTTTACAGTGCAGGGAGTTAAGAAAAGGGAATTCTTATCAATCATTACAGAGAGTAAATTGGCAGTACTTGTTAATGCTTAAAATAGGCACATCACAATTTCTGGTTAGCGTAGGGAAATCCCGCCCAAGTGTACAAGGAATTAAGAACAATTCCATCTGCAGCAGGACTGTTTGGAAAGAGAAAAGGTTGAGAACAGTCAATGGGGCTCCAGGCAAACATGCTTTGGATTAGTCATACCAGCAAGTCGGCATGAACTGACATGGCCAGCTCTCCAAGATAGTCTAGTGAGTGAGGAAAAGCAAAGTTTAGAATAGTGTGATTTAACATGCACACATAGGTCCCAGCCCAGGTGCAGCATGGGTGAGACCATCTTGCACCCGCTTGAGAA